TCCCACCTTTTGACAGAATCTAATTTGGCTTTTGCCCAGCCCAAGAACTTGTCAGGATAAAACAGGAGCCCTCTTTTTAGGACCCTTGAAATGGCACTGGAGACTGTAACAGTGAACAATAATGAAGATTTTATTTAAAAGGCAGGGATGGTATGTGGTAGTCAGGAATTGGAATGGCTGAGGTAAACGTTGGTAAAACAGTGTATTTTTCAGTTGACAGACAAGATGGTGGTGTGGCAGCTTAGTTTTACAAATTCTTGGTTCTTATCAGTGAGAGATGGTTGAGTACTTAAGTTTCAGTTACAGTGTTTCTGCATATAGGTTCCTATTAACTGTTCAGGGTTTTTGGAAAGGCCATTGTTTTTGTATATCAGATTCTTTTCCCTTTTCTGAAATCATAATGTTTCTTCTTTCCTCTGAGTAGTGTATAACCATTTCCTTTCACATCAGACCAGAAACTGCCTCAGTGCCAATTCCCTGTATAATCCAATTCCTTTTGGTGTGATTGCTATCCAGTCACTCTTTACTAAAATCACAAACCCCAGTTCTTGGTGTCTGTGTGAAAACGAATTTCAACTTTAGCTGACACTGGACTCTGAATTCTTAGATGGAATTCTTTCTCAGGTTATGTTTAACACAGCTACAACAAGGAGTCTCTCCCTTTATTCAAAAGGTGAACCTGTCTGACAGACTTTTAGTTAGACTCTTCAGACATCCACTACTTTAGCTGAACTTTTTCTTTACTGAACAGGAACTGCCACTGAACTCAAAACAAATTCCCCCTCCCCTTAGTACACAGCAGATCTTATATTTCCCTCATCTGATACTGGCCAATCAGAAAAAAGGAGCAGCCTGTCATTAAACATTCTAGAGGAGAGTTAAATATTCACCTCCCTTCTCTGATTTTGCTGCATTAGGAAGGCAGCATATTAAATGTAGTCTGTCACACATGGCAACAGAGTAAGAGTCAGATCTGACCCTGAAATCCATAGTTCAGAGAAAGCCATCCTTTGGCCTGCAGGAGGATGACAGCAGAGCTCCAGCTGCTCTCTGACTAATACTCATTTTGCAAGACTGCTGTGATGGACTGCAGTTTTTAAGAGGCTTAAAAGTGCTGTACATAAAACTATGGATTGTGGAGGGTTAATTCTTCACAGAGCCAAAGAGCATTGAGTGACAGGCTGCTCTGAGCAATCTGATTGGCCAGCATCAGCTGAGCAGACAGTTTTGAGAAAGCTGGATGCTGAGGTGATTCATTCTGATTTGAGCCTTGACTAGAGAAAGTCTGAGATTTGTCTTGTGAGTCTAATTTCAGCCTTGGCTGATAGTAGTTCAACACAGATAGGAGAACTGGGGGAAAGTTGGCTAGGAGGTTTGGGAAGTAAACTGAGACTCCAGTTCAGGCCAAGGAAAGGGGATAAAACTTCTAGGGAGAGAAGAAGATTCCCTACCCAGTTGAACAGGGTGATATCTCTGAACGGTACAGAGATCCCTGGTCTGGTGTGGTTAAAAACTGTGTGGAGAGACCTAAAGAGTCATTCAAAAACTGGTGTTCCAAGAGAAGGGGTTTGGGTACTGGGAAGAGGGTACCAGCTTTCTGGGCAGCAAAAAAGTCTGCTATTTTATAAATAAAGTGTGCTGGAGTGGTTTGAGAAAACCCAGGAACAGAAACCTCTCAAAATAAAGAAGTATAGTAACTGTGAATAATTCCAGAAACTCTCACTAGCCTGATATATAAGAGTTTGTGCTTATACTATTTTAGCTCAGTATTTTCAACCCCTGACTTCACCTTACCTTTCCCTTTAATATTAAATAAAAACCTTCTGTTATTTCTGAATAGTGTCTTACGGGCCATTTTCTGTCATTTAAGTTAAAGGGAGACCCAAACCCTTCCCTCTGGTCCTGGGTTGAGAAAATAGCCATTAAATATTAGTGACATAGGGTGGAACTGCTAAAGTTACTTTAAAGAGAAGAATACACGCTACTGGGTCTGCTCAGTCAGTGAAGAGACACAAGTGCCGGAGATCGAGCGGAATGGTGTATAACCGAGCGTGGTCAGAAATTGACCAACAATGATGTGAGTTCTAGAAAAACGGACTAGTTTAAAAAGCGATTCCCCCCCCCCGCGGTTGAAAAAGTGACGGCAAAGAGGGACGCCTCTTATGCGAGTGAGCGGATAACGAACATGAAGGGGGAGAGGGGAGGAAACAAATCGAAAGTGTTTTGAGAGACTTATCTGAATTGCGAAGTTGTTTGGTGATTTTTCCAAGTTGCGTAGAAGCTGTAGAAATTGTAAACAAAACCGAAAGATGGCGGCCCAGCAAAGAAAGTTTAAAACGAAGCCGGGGCAGTCAGAGTCCGAAACCGGAAGAGGGAGCAGATGTCTACAAACTCCTGGCGGATATGCTTAAGCCGGTGATGGAACAACTCGATGGTATTAACCAGCAATTGACCATAATGAATAAAAACTTTGCAGCACAGCAGCTTCAGCTGAACGAAACGGAGAAAAAAGTGGAACAGGCAAACGAGAAAATTAAAGAAATAGACACCACAAGCAAGAAGTTGAAGAAAAGGTTAGGAGATGTGGAAACGAAGCAGAATAGTCAAGAGAATTGAGTTTTGCAGCTGCAGATGGAAAAAGCTAACATGATTCTCGGGTTTCAGGGGGTTCCTGAAACGGATCGAGAAGACTTGAAGAAGGTGCTCAGTGAGATTATAGCTCCAGTAATAGGCTTAACAGCGGAAGAACTTATAAACAAAATGGAGCCAGCCTACAGGGCATACTCCAATTACATTTAAAAAGCCTACCTGGAGAAATAGTGGTTAGATTCTTAAGACAAACTAGAGATGCCATTTTGAAAGCAACATCAGCAACTCCACTGAAAATGGGAAATGTAACCATTAAATCTTTAAAGGACATTCCATTTGACATCAGGCAGAAGAGGAAAAATTATAAGGGTTGGGCGGTTCCGGAGGGTGTCATCTTTAAGATCAACGATAGAAGAGAGAAGATGGATTCCACTTTTTAAACTAAAGAATTTTTGAAACGTCAGCTGGGGACAGATGAAGAGTCTAAAGATGGAGAATCGAAGTCTAGTGACTCTACTACCCTGTTTCCCCGAAAATAAGACCTACCCAAAAAATAAGCCCTAGCAGGATTTCTATGCATTTGTGGTATAAGCCCTAGTATGTCTTCTTGAGAAAAAATAAATATAAGACAGTGTCTTATTTTCGGGGAAACAAGGTACTTTGGGAACGGAAGAGGATTCTGTGGCAGAAAAGGGTGCAGGACCTGCCAGAGTGGTATAAGATTTTAGGACAGAAAGCCAAAATAAAGGCAGAAGGACTTGGAAAATGGATTTTTGAAGCGAAGAATAAGATGATCAGAGACGTCTCTCATAACAACTAATAAAATAACATATAAATAGCGAATTGTTATAAGCAAGAACTCTACAAGTATATTGTGATACTAAAACTAATTGTACTAACATTTTTACTAACAGTGAAAAGATCTCCTCCTGGGGTTTTAGTTTAGTGTGGTTTGCTTTCCTTTATCCTTAGTTGTAGTCCCTTCCCTAATATTTCTTTGTAGTTTGTAGTCTTTGCAAAATAAAAAAATCCCTCCGGGGATTTAAAAAAAAAAGTATCTGGGAGCCCTTTATCCTGGGGTTTCTGGCCCTAAGATCTGCTACTTGGGGTAACCTGCTGGAAGTTGACTGACAGCAGGTTCAGGACACACAGAAAAAGATACTACTTTACAACATATAATTAATTTACAGAAAACTCCATGACCTGATCTCTCACTTGGCCAGTTAATATTTGGTAAATGGGATAAGTCCCTACACATGATGGGCCTGATATGTGTTCCTGCTGTTGCACATAGAAAGCAATGTGTGAACCAGCGGTACATGCTATATGCGCATAGAATACATTTCGCCTTGTTTCTGTGATCATCCCTTCCTTTCTTCCTTGATGTACACGCCATGTCCACATTGCTCAGGAATGGCAGGGCCTGACACTGTAGAGGGGAAAGAAAGGCTACACTCCAGACAGCTGGAGGACAGCATATTAAAAGGCCACGTGTTGACCAGCTACAGAAACTTAGGGGCTCTTTCACTCTTTAAGCAGCACACTTCAGCATTCCCTGGTGCCATTTTCATGGCAACATGAGGCCAAATAGCATCCCTCAATCTAATATATGTTTACCTGGGATAAGGAAGCAGGGAAGGTGGCGTGATATAGCCTGATCTTCTCAGAAGCGAAGCAGGGTTGGTGTTTGGATGGGAGACCACCAAGGAAGACTATCCGCCTCTGCTTCTCACTTACCTTGAAAGCCCCTTGCTGGGATCGCCATACGTTGGTTGTGACTTGACAGCACTTACGTATGTAGGGAATGAGGCTCAAATCAGGCACCATGTTTGGAGTTCTTGGAATGGAATTATCAGATTTCTCCCCTTTAAATGGGGCCCTGGTTTGGATCAGAAATGTCTTGTAATGGGGGGGGGGCAAGCCTCCTTATCATGCCCTTTTCTCCATAATTGGCCCCAAGAACTTTTACCCCATTGAGGCAAATATATAGGTACCCTATAGCAGTCTTGCTTCTGAGTAAATCTGTTCAGATCCATGACTTCAGTACTTCAGAAATGCATGATACCTTGTGGAGTCCTCTCTGCCATCAGGCTACAACCAAGCTGGCGGTTGCTGGCCCCAAGTGTGCCAAACAACAAGATTGTCTTAGAAATAAGACACGCGATCCAGCTTCCGCAGCTCCAGATTGCCTTTGGGCCCTTAGAAAATGGGGAGTTGAAGTGATCCACCCATCAGCATCCCTTTTCCCTTACACAGAAGCATGAGTCCTGTACAAAGTTTCATATTTTTTTTTTAATCTGATCCCCTCCAAAAAAACATATATTTGTCTTTTCTGATATTAACATACTCATGGGAGACACATAAACATTCCAAGGAGGCATAAATAACATTATACGCACACACACGGAGGTAGCACATACAGACTCAGTTCACCAAGGGGAAAAAGGCGCAGAGCACAGTCTATGGCAGGCACCAATCCCGGATGGCCTCACTGTAAGCCACCAGTTCCGGGAAAAACCTCTCCTCATGTTGCTTTGCAGCGGTTGGTGGAAGAGTAAGAGCAGGGAAGGAGGTCTTCATCAGGTTGCAAATGCTCCGAGGCTGCTCCCAGAGTGCAGCTTTCCCCACAGCTAGCTTCTCTGAGCAGTGATTCCAGTTGTAGCAGATTGCAAGTCTTTCACAGTGTGGAAGGGTGAAGGAGCATCAGGGCCACTTTGGATCGGAGAGACAGGTCATTGTATTGCACTAACTCACGTGCAGCCAGCGTGTCAGTCTTTGCATAGGAACACGGGCTAGATGCTCCATTCGGGCCCTTTTCTACCCTCAGATGCTGCTTAATTTTCAACCCTGAAACAGTCTTCAGCGGGACATCATCCTGACAAACTCTGTAAATAACAAGGAGAAAGAGAGATATGGAAAAACCAACAAGGTCATCCCACCCCAGTAAGAGGGAACGAGAGGTCAGAAGATCACATCCCACCTGGGTAACTAGGCATCCCACCCTGGCCAGTAACAAAGTCCCTTCTTTTATATCCTTGCTCATTCTGTGACACCTGGGTGGATTCTCACAGAATGGGAACCAATAGCAACTGAATTGTCTTACCATGATACCAACAGCTAAGGCAGAGAAATGTCAAAACTTCCTCCCAGAGAAGGATGTGAGGGCAAAGAGTTAAGACAGGACGAAAGGCAGTGGAAGGCTTTGAGGTAATTATGAGGAGTTTGTGTTGGATCTGGGAGGAGACAGAAAACCATTCTAGGGTTTTAAAGGAGGGCTATTGCTTGTCAGAACAATGATGATGATAGAGGTGAATAATTCTGCTCATGGACAGAGGCAAGGTAGTGAGGCCGGAGAAGTAGAGGTTACATATTTTTACAATTTACTGATTTTAGTCATACCTAAAATTATGTCCATAAACTCAAGGTGGCTAAAATCACAATAATCAAGGTGAGAGATGACAAGAACATCAAGGAAGGAATATATTTTTGTAATTTACAAAGACAGAAGCAACATGATCTAACAACAGAACAGAAACGAGGAGCAAAACAGGGAGAAGTCCAAGGTTTTGTGCCTATTAGCAGGGTGTTGATGACTTCATCAATGGATACAGATAGCAAACAAGGAAAAGGCAGCTTGGAAGGAAAGATGAAAAATTCAGTCTGGCACATATTTAGTTTGAAACAGTAATGTGACATCTAAGTGGAAATATATGAGAAGCAGTTGGAGATGTAGGATTGGATGGAATGGAAGGCAAAAGTTTGGTAATAAGAAAGGTAGAGCTTGATGTCATTGGTGTTTAATTGGTACTAAAAGTCACAGGATTTTGAGGTAATCCAAGGACAGTGCAGAGACAGTGAATGGAAGAAGACCAAGGAAATATCCTGGGAGACCTCCAAAACAGAAAGGGACAACAGAAGAAGAGCTTCCCCCTCTGGAAACGTTGAACAAATGATTAGAGGTAGGAAGCGAACCTGCTAAGGACAGAATAAAGGAATCCTTGGGTGTGAAGAAGCACGGAAGAATGATCTACTGTAGCAAAGGCTGCAGAGAAGTCGAGTATGAGGAAGAGTGGAAACTTTTTGATTTGGCAATGAAGATATTGTCAGTGATTTTCAGTTGAAGCAGAAGCTAGATTGTAAGAGGTCGAGAGTGAATCAGCAGAATGCCCAAAAAGTTTGGAGGCCAATGATAGAAGGGCAATCTGGTTGTAGCTGGAGAAGTTGTGTGATAGATACATGCCAATCTGGTGACCTTTGTGATTGTTTTGCTTTTTATCTTGCATTGTGAGGAACACTGTCTTTTCAATTATTTGATTTCCATTCCTGGATGACACCAAGACACTGTTATGTTTTGACTAAATTCTCTCTAGAGAGTGTCTAGTTGTTATGAAATGCCATGGAAAATTGAGATAAGCTTCCAATGTAAAGATTGTATATATGAAATGATGGTTAGAAAGAACTGAAGAGGGAGAATAGCATGGACTATTGGACTATTAGAAAGTAACCATGGACCGAGGAGAAGAAAGAGGATTATGGTACATGTGTCTTTATACTATATATATAGAAGGTGGGTATTAAATTAGCATACAGAATAATGAAGATGTTTTTAACAGATTAAAAGAATAAGAAGCTTAGTTTATATGGCTATCATCTGTTTGGGTCCAGTAGTCGTGGTTGACTCACACCTAGAGAGCGTTGGCTTAGCATAGCTCGCGCTGGACAGGATAAGTAGTGAAATTCCCTGCATTGACTTTTTAAAACTGTGCGTTATATGAAATTTTCCGCAGTATATTTTTCCTCACCAGGCACAAACCTGAAGTTTTCTCCTTCTTACCCCAAGTTTTCAGAACTCACTAAAACTGGAGATTCCTAATGAGGAAAAATCTACTGTGGAAAAATTCTGAATTGAGAACAGAAGGAGAGAACACAAGGAGACATAGGTTGATCATGTGGTAGAGAGAAGAGAAAATGGTTTGGGGAGATGGCAGCCAGAAGTTGGGAGGGTACAGGGCAAAGGGGGCATGTGGAATTGTTGTATGATGTAAACACGGTTGTTAGGTTATCAAGTGAGAAGGGGAGGGGAACTGAAACAATTGAAACAATAGGGAGAGGGAGATCTGGAAGAGGAGGAAAATAGAAAAGTAGATGAGACTGGATGTTTTTAATTTTATCACTGAAGGAGGACACAAAGTATTAGCAAAAGAAGGTGGGAGGAGTTGGAAGGGCATGCTGCACCAGAGCAACAAAGACAAAAAAGGGGCACTGAGGATTCCTAGAGTGGGTCTGGCTCAGGGAAGTGTATTCACACTGCTTAACCTGGGCCCCGGTCACACTGGCCGGATATTGCGGGGGGGGAGGCGTGGCTAATTGCCCCGGCGCAGTTTGATCCGCGATTACGCGATCAGACGCGCCAGCGGCACACCACGGGTCCTTCCCTCAGCGCCGGCGGATAAACGAGGGACCGGAGAGGAATGCTGCGCGCCGGCTCGATCACACCACGGGAGTCTGGAGGCAGCCCGTGGATAACGTTTACTAGTACTTTGGAGGTACTACTTTTTTAACACATTTTTGGCAGTAAGCCATGGGCAGTAAGCCACTTCCCAGATGTTGGGGTGTGATCGCGCCCGGATAATCCGCCCACCATCCGTGCCTCTCCCGCGGCAACTTTGCCGTGTGACCGGGGCCCAGGTAGACAGCCAGATAAGAAGAGAAGGATGCATTTAAAATGAACAAAATCAGCCCACTTTTTTGTTCTCTGCCAGAAACATTAATCTCTTCAAGAGCATGAACATAGGTTGTAAATCAAGACTAGGAATGAGGATGTATTCAGAAACAGGAGTTAAAGACCAGGGATGAGCTAAGGCAGAACCTGCAGAGCTTCAAAACTGAGCAGAAGAGAAAAACCTACTGAACCAACGGCTGCCAGGTGACAGAAGTAGCAAGAGCCAGAGTGCGGGGAGGGTGGACTCCAAAACTCCAGATGACCTTTCCCCGATAACCTAACTTGAAAATTAAGCAAGAAGGGGTGTGAGCTAGAACTGGCAGAATTTGGAAAAATCTACACTGTAGCCTTCAGGGCAAGGTGTGTGGGAAAGAGACCTCAATAAAGCAAGGGCAGCCATAGTGGCGTGAGAGGTGGAGAGGCTGGTTTTGGTGAGGGCAAATAGGGATCCAGAGACAAAAACATCATGGCGGATGACTGCCTTCTCAATGGAGCAGAAATTTCAGAGGGCGAAAATAGAAGCAGGGAGGGGAGAGGGAGAGGGAGCAAACTGGGATGGGTTTTGGAGAGAAAGAAGCAGGACAATCGATTCTTTAATGCTGGAAACTCAAGGGGAAAGAAGAATTGGTGCATGTGGAGGGGATGACATCAGGATCATCTACTGGAAAACAGATCACAAAATGGCACTGTATGGGTGATACCTTTAGGCAGCTTCCTTAGATGGCGTCTGTGTGGAAATAGAACTGAGCAGAGGTCATTTCGGGGGGGAACGCGGGGGAACACAGTTCCCCCGGGTGAGGTACCGGGGGGGGGGCACATGATGAAGCCCCGCCCCCTGCTTCCGGCCCTCATTCAGCCAGGAGGAGGCAGGAGAAGAGGGAGGGTAAGTTGCTTCCTCCCTGCCTCTCCCCACCCCTGCCTGCCTGGGGCCAGGGAGGGCCTTCGCGGGGCTTCCTCACACTCCCGCCGGTCGGGACCATTGGGGGCGGGGTGTGTGGCCTTATGACACATTTCCGGTGATGTCAGGGGGTGTGGCCTTATGACACACTTCCGGTGATGTCAGGGGGTGTGGCATATGCTAATGAGTTATGCTAATGAGTTCCCCTAGCTCTTTTTCTATGAAACGACCCCTGGAACTGAGGTAGGCTATAGCCCTTAGTTTGAGCCCCAGAGGGTGCTGGGAAAGTAGTCAAATATCATGGTTGGGGATTAATAGCCTCAAAAGTAGAAAATGAGAAAGGGAGAGACAGGCTGACCAGCATAAGGAAGAAGAGTCTGCAGAATAGCAGCACTGGTAGAGTTTCCTGTGACACACAATCCTGACAGAATGCAGGAAACAACAGTGAAGCCCAGTCCAGCCCTGCTAACCCACCTCCCTGCCCCACTGGCAACTGCTTGTTTTCTCTCACCTTCGAAATCCACTCGCCCATCTCCATTCAGGTCTACGTCCCGTATTATGTCCTCTATGTCCCGGTGCCCCACTTGTTGTCCAAGCAGTTTCTTCATAGCTTCTCGTAGTTCGGTGGTGCTGATCTCTCCATCACCATTGGTGTCAAACTGCCACACACAGAGGAAAAAAAAACAGTCAAGGGGAAAGCAGGGGGTACCTATTTTGCTGTCTCATCTGCTTTACCTGCAAATTCCAAAGTCACATTTCTTAATGTATTCCATCATACTCAAAGTCAATCATGCTCAAAGTCAGTCTACTTCTTCAAGTTGGGTAGCATAAGTAGAAGCAGCACTACTTAATTATAGTAAAGGTAAAGCTTTTCCTAACTTGAAAGCTAGTCCAATCCCACTCTAGGGGGCGGTGCCCATCTCCGTTTCCAAGCTGAAGAGCCAGCCCTGTCCGAAGGCATTTCCATGGTCATATGGCCAGCATGACTAAATGCCGAGGTACGCATAATGCTGTTACCTTCCCACCCTGGTGGTACCTATTTATCTACTTGCAATTTCTTGCTTTCAAACTGCTTGGTTGTCAGGAGCTGGAGCCAGAGACGGGAGCTCACTCCGTCACGTGACACTAGGGTCTCGAACTGCCAAACTACAGACCTTCCCAACTGCAGCTCAGCGTCTTAACTTCTGAGCCCCCACAGTCCCTTAATTATATTTAATTATACCAAAGGCCTAATTAGCCCAGCATCCAATTTCTGGCAGTGGCCAGAGACATTTCCAGGAACCCTGCAAACAGGGCATGAAGGCGAAAGCTTCCCCCTGTTATCCTTCCACCACATATAAAGCTAGGGTTGCCAGCTCCATTTTGAAAAATACCTGTTTTGGGGGGGGTGGAGCCTGAGGAGGGTGGGGTTTGGGGAGGGGAGGGACTTCAAGGGGGCATAATGCCATAGAGTCCATCTTCCAAAGTGACCATTTTCTCCAGAGCAAATGATCTCTGTCACCTGGTGACCAATTGTAATAGCAGGAGATCTCCAGCCACCACATGGAGGCTGGCAACCCTGTATATGGACTCTGCATGCAGGGGTTTAATTCAGCTGTCATGGCTGACAGACCTATCCTCTGTGAATCTTGTAGGCAAGTAATTCACAGGAGGAGATTCCACAGCCTAGTTCTCACCTCTCTGAAAGCGTCTCGTAATTCCTTGACCCCAATCATGTCTGCCGTCTCTGCCAGAAGTTTTGGTCCCATCAGCTCCACAAAGTCATCAAAATCTACATGGCCACCCACTAGGGACACCAAGACAAACAAAAAGTAACATAGTAATGCTCAGTTCCGCTTTTAAAGCATTCAAACCAGTTGAGCATCAGTATTTGAACATATTCTTCCCATCTGACAAACCAGTTCGTACCACCAAACCGGTTTGTTGAGAGCAAAGAGTGAATGAATCCATGCAGACTGGCATGTGCCAAAGTGATTCTGGATTCATGCGTAGCTCACCACTTAGTACATTTTTGCCATTCTAATATTCAACACAACCTCCAACCCCGCTTCCTGCCTACTTGAGAATGCTGCAAACAAAAGGAAAACAATTTCTAACTTCAGCATTCAGAAGAACAAAATATTAGCATTAGGGTAAAGTCTACTAAAACATGGTGTTCATAGTCAAATACCAAAGGCAATAGCTATGGGAATCTTTATTGACAATAATGGCAAATAATGTTTACATTAGACAATTTTAAGTTTCAAAATACAGTTATTATCATATTTAATGTGCTTATAATTTTAATTGACCTCATGCTTTATTTCTTTTAGACTCTGCACACATAACTCAATCCAACATTCTCAGCATGCCAGTAGGATTTTGTGAATTATTCCAGAATCTGTTGCATAATCATCAGCTCAGCACAGAGAAACAGAAGTCCTAGAACATCCACCCTCTGCAGCCACTCTAGGACTTCCATTTCTTCCTAGGACTCTATGGTATACCAATGAGTTCAATCTCTGATGCTGCCATTTCCTCCTGAGCCCTGATCTCTGTGGTGTCTGTAGTCTGGATCTCAATTGTCATTCTGGGAGAACAAAAGTTGGAAAATATTGCTTTCTGCAGCAGTGACTCTGTATAGCACAGCTTCATCTTTGGAAATACAGATCAGGAACTTTCCCATAAATGCAAGTCTCATCCCAGAGTAACTGCTCATTGTAAAGAACTGATTGAACAGCTTCAGCCCTTTCTTTTCGCTGGCTCATCTGCAGAACTAATTGCAACCTTTGTGTTATCGGGGACGAAAGTGAAAGTACTGTGACTGATTGCTGTTTGTATTTATGTACGTATGCATATAATGTTGTGTATATCTAGATAATATTGGTATGAGTAGGAATCTTTAACTTTCTAGCTTGTCTGAATAACAAAAATCTGAACAGAAGTGGGTATTGGGTTTGAAGGGTGCATTTGGAAATAGAAGGAAATAGCAGAAGGATGAAGCAAATCAGAAACTAGGTTGTAAATTCATTCCCCACTTGATATCAGTTTTGTACAACTGGCTCATTTAACTGGACACAAAGCATGAGGGCAGAATCTCAGTTTTTCTCCTGCCATGCTATGGACAGCTACAGACCAGCACTTTCCAAATCCTCTTGATCACACATCCAAGAGGAGGGCAGCAGTGGAGCTCCAACAGCTGCACATTAATTCCAGCTTTTCTCACCCAGCACCAGCTACTAGCATTTGCCAGAATTCCCCCTTCTCCCACCCTCCTTTGAAGCCAGTCACCCTAATTCATACCTCTCACAGCTTGATACCAATGAGGTAGCTGGAATGGAAGACCAACTGCACATTACAGCTCCTCCCTCCCCACAACCAAGAAATAACATCAGATCACAGATCTCCTTCAGACTGGCAACCAATGTGCTCAGCCACAAACCCAGAGAGTCACTGGCCTCAGGCAAACCAGAACGCTGAACAGAGAGGCTGACTGGCAAGAACAGCTTGCTAAGGCAAGTCCAACAGAGGAAGGTCAATCATGATATATATTACAATCATTTGGTTAGGAATGACAGAGCACAAGGCAGTATGGGTGTCACCTCCATGCATCCCTGGCACTTTATCCTTGTGCAGATTGTGCATAGAATGCACGCCTTAGGTAAAACTGGACTGGAAGTCTGTGCTAGTGCAGGCATTGCCTGGCAAAAACGGCAGGAGAAAGAGAGAAAAGGGCTGTGTTTGGTTAGAAAGGGACAGAAGCCTCACAGGGGGTGGGGGGTGGGATCAGTTTAGACAGCACGTACTCACAATTCATGTTGATCTGTTGGGACAATTCTATAAGCTCCATTTCAGTAGGCATGTAACCCATAGTTCGCATACAGTTCCCCAAGTCCCGGCAGTTGATGTAGCCATCTTTGTCTTTATCAAACTCCTTGAACGCTTCTCTCAGCTCTGTTGGGGGGGGGGGGGGGGAAGGAGGCAGAGTCAGCACCACTGAAACTGTTCCAGGCTTTATCCCACTTTCCCCAAGAGGAATTTGCCTGTGTGTGCCTATCAGACAGGTTCACTGGATAGACAGAAGCCAGGCTCCTCCACTGGATCTCTGGCACTGAAATGACAGCTAAGGAATCAGGCTAACAGGTCTAAGCAATGCACTCTGATCTTCATGAGAACCAAGAGAGTATGGGGGAATAAGAGTGCAAGCTTGAAAAGTCCTCAGTACAAGTCTTATTTCAACGATGACCTCTTTAGGAGACCTTACGTGAGCTGATTCTCAGGCTGGAGTATTTTGAAGAAAGTACACATACACACACACCCCATTTTATCCCACTGCCACCCTTGGCTAATGAGATTTTGCAAGTTTTTTGAAATAATATTAAAAACCTGCAAAACTTGTTAAACCAGAACAAAAGCAAGGCTGAGTGAGAGGGGAGGGGCCGTGGCTCAGTGGTAGAGCATCTGCTTGGCATGCAGAAGGTCCCAGGTTCAATCCCCAGTATCTTCAGTTAAAAGATCTGGCAGTAGGTTATATGAAAGACCTCTGCCTGAGACCCTGGAGAGCCACTGCCAGTCCAAGTAGACAATACTGACTTTGATGGACCAAAGGTCTGAATCAGTATAAGGCAGTTTCATGTGTTCATGTGAGAGTGAATACACACTGAAGTTCAATCTAGACATGGCAGACACTCTGTTGGGGGTCTGGATCAAGACAGTGGCTTTTGCCAGTTCTGGAGAGGGTAGCACTTCCCCTTAAGGAGCAAATTCACATCTTTGAATGTACAAGTGATATATATGACTCAAAGTGTCTTCACAACTTCAGTTGGTGCACAAGCTATGCCCTTCCCTGGAAAAAAAATGAGTTGGCTAAAACTGTCCATACTTTACGTACATCAGGCCTTTATTGTTTTAATATACTATATGTAAGGCTACCTTTGGGGATCTTTTGAAAATGTCTGAAACTCTGCAGCAACAGCACTAATAGGGATATGCTGTAGTACTGATTACTCCTTTGTGAAAAGAGCTCCACTGGTTTCCAGTTTGTTTTTGGGCATCATTCAGAGTGCGGGTTTTGGCCTTTAATCCCTACATGATCAGGGCCTGGGATGTCTGAAGGACAAGCTACTCCCATATAAATGTGTCCATCCATTAAGGTCTTCTAAAAAGATGGGTGGTAGCTGGGTCCACTGGCTTCCTGAAGGTGGCACTATGACACTTTCTCCCCTAAGATTTTCCTGGTGCCTTCTCTGACTGTGTTCAGGTGACAGGCGAAGGGTAGATTGTTTTGCATTGCTGTTGGTTAGCTGTGGCTTTATTCTATTGCGATTTATGGTTGCCCTCTGGATTACTACCCTGAGTTGTCTTATTCTGTGTCAGTTCCAGTTTTAATGTTATGCTGCATGGCCCATAGGGGGGCTACTACTAGAGCATTACTGAGGCTGTGGCTCAGGGTTGAGCGTTTGCTTGGCATGCAGAAGGTCCCAGGTTCAATCCCCAGCATCTCCAGTTAAAAGATCTGGCAGTGGGTGATGTGAAAGACCTCAGCCTGAGACCCTGGAGAGCTGCTGCCAGTCTGAGTAGACATTACTGACCTTGATGGACCAAGAGTCTGAAGCTGATATGGCAGCTTCATGTGTATTCAGGTGTATGTGTAACATAACATGAAATGCTTTGCACATTCTATGAGTGCTAAATATTATTGGTGGTATTTTTTTCTGTTGAAAACTGGATGCTCTGAACCCAGGCTCCCTGTTGCCCTTTGAGAGAGCGATTAGAGGCCGAATCCTGTAGTGATAGAATCTATCATCTAGAGACATTTCCTTATAATGGTATTGGAACCAGAGGGCTCGTTTTAAGGTCATATGACCCTAGGTCATTCTTTTAAAAGCCTGCATTAAAACAGCAAAACATTAAAAAATATTAAAACTACTAATTAAAAAAAGATTAAAAATCACGTAAAGCTTAGATGGGTAACGGTGCAACCCTAAAAGCACTTTCCTGGGAGTAAACCCCATTGGATAAAATGAGGCTTCTAAGCAGACCAATTTAGGATTACACCCTAAGAAGATCTTCATATGGCACCTAAAACTCATAAAACTAGGTGCTGTAAGGAGAAAGTTCCACAAGGCCCTTAATGGCCTTGGACCCACACACTTGCAAGACCGTCTCTCCTGCTGTGCTCCATTGTGACAGCTTTGTTTGTCTGAGCAAAGCCTTCTATAGGTGCCACCCTGAAAATGGTGAAATCTGCAGCTGCCCATTCACACACATTCTCGGTGGTGGCTCCCACCTTGTGGAATGTCCTGCCTGAGAAGGTCAGACAGGCTCCTAGACATCTGTCATTCCACAGCATGTGCAAAATCATAGTGTTCAAGACGGCATTTTTCTAAAGGGATTAGAGCTACAGCAGAAAGGAATCATCCTGCAAAGTGTTTGGAACAGCTCCCTGCCTTAAAGGTATTAACTACTCCCTGGATCCACTGGCTATCCCTCACCCTAGCAATCTGGTATAAGCCAACATGGGTAAAGGTCAAACCCCAGTTGGTAATAGGCTGAGCTCCAGCAACAGTCCAGCACCAACTTGCTGAAGTTGCGGTGTCCAAATCCCAGTGGATACAAGCAATTTTATCCATGAACTACCTTGCAGATGAGTCACAGTAAGCCTCAGAGTTTCCAAGTTGACACCATCAGGGGGCAAACTGAGATGCTTCCTTACTATTTGGAACTACTGTTGGATGGTTTTGCACAGACATAATGGTAACAGAGGAGTGTTGCCATTTTGTCACTGTCACTACCACAGAGTGGGTACAAATACATTCTCTGGCCTCTCTTGAATACTATTTGTCAGAAGTTTTTCTCCAGTGGTGCTCTAGTTGTCTGCCAACTTCTTTCATCACTTTAAGCTGCTCAATAAACCAAGGAGCTGAATGGGCTCTATGAGAAGGAAGAGGGCCTTGGGGAGTGATCATGTCAGCCATTCAAGTCATCTCTGTTTCACTGACTGCAAGGAATGCCTGTGAGGCTCTTGGGAGGCCTGTGTTTAGTGGCTGCTTCAGCTGGTGCATTTGGAATGTGCAGCTGGCTTCAGAGGCTGGCATGGTTGGACTCAGTTGCTTTAGCCTAGGCCCATCAAGGGAGCCACCACCACTTAATAGACTGTGCTGTCATCCTGGCCCTCCATTGACACATCAGCCTTTCCTCCTGTGCCATTTTCCCAACCTGAAACAGTCCAGGGCTATTTGGCCTGTTGAGTAAAACACACATGTTCCTTGGAAAACGCATAGGTTTCCCCAACAGGCCAAAAGCACCTCCAAGGCAGTTTCAGGGTACATCCATCAGGCCAATTTGCTGCCCTGTAATGTGCAAAATGGTGCTTACAAGTAGGGTGGCTGCAAGTGGTCTTATACACTGGACCATTACAGCAAACCTGTTGTCAACGACAGGACAAATGCTTACCTTCTATTTCTTCTGGACGCAGCTCTCTGTCCTGAAAGGAAAGAACACAGAGTTACAACCATCTCTTTCAGAGGAAAGTGGTGTCAGGATAATACCTTTTGAGTATGGTTGGGGGGGACAGAAGAGCACCAAGAAGAAACAGAAAAGCATGTTCACTACACCCCCTGACGAGATGCTGACACCCAGCAAGAGAGTCAAGTGTGGCTGTCTGGTTGTTTTGAAGCTTTTCCCACTGCAATGTCACTGCTCCAAGTCTTAGATTCAGGTGTCCTGCAAGTTCACCATGATCTTTACTCCAAAGAATTGTGACAGCACTGAATGGACTTCCACTTTTTATATTTTTCCTCTAGGAACAAAAACTGGTAGAGTCTAAGGTGATGGCATTTATGAGCTTCTCCAGAGGCATTACATGGCATCTCAGAGGTCTGCGATGAGCTGTAAACTGCCCTGCCCTGCCGTACCCAACAAACCAGTACCCTTAACAGTGGTACCTCATGCCAGTTCAGACCAAGAGAACCCTGGGCTCTCCCAAAGGTAGGACCCACGGCTCCCTCTGTCCTGGGCTGATCCCACCATCTGTATCGGATGGCAATGACAGAAAGTTATCAGGGGACTGTTTGTGTTGGTCTGTCTGCGGTAGAAGAGCAGGACTCAAGTCCAGTAGCACCTTAAATACCAACAAGATTCCCAGGGTCTCAGCTTTCTGACTAAAGGAACTTTGACTCTTGCCAGCGTATACCCTGGAAATCCTGTGGGTCTTTAAGGTGCTACTGGACTCAGATCTTGCTCAAAGACAGAAAGGCAACCCTGGGCGATAACAGGAGCATTTGGGGACAAGAAGAAGAGAAAGATTGACTGTAGTAAGGAAATATCCCAAACCGTCCATTTGGGTTTCAAAGGACTGGTGTGTGGGTAGTGTCCGATTATGAAGAGCACAGGAAAACTCCAGCGGCTATAGCAAGAACAGTGTGGAAATGCACTGCTTCCTGGTTAGTATCCCCCCCCCCCAAAAAAAACCCCTCCATAACTCCCCTCTTGGCTGCCAGGCAATTGAGAACAAGTAAAAAACATTCCCAATTTCCAGCCTCTCCCCTTGACATCCTTGTCTCCTAAGATTGCTTCATTTCCACCATAGGTTTCCAGAAAGGGTTTCCACTCTTTGCCGGAGCTTATGTGGCTAATTACCTACAGATTGCTTTACTGGCTAAATTACTGCGGCTGCTCCAAAGAGTGCTTCGAACCGAGGCAAATGAGTTGGCTTATGTCTGCCGAGGAAGGCTATGCCAGAGCATGGATCCCCTTGGTGTTTATAGTCTTCATCTCTCTGCCAGGTGGGGCGTCAAGGAGACACTAATCCTGTAGCCCCACCCTTCGCTATGCTGGTAATTTAAAAAAAACATGACTTCCTGTTTCTTCTGCTTTTATAAAATCCAAACAGAAATATTATTTTGAGTAAGGCGCTGGGGAAGGGAAACCCACTGCCTTTGTGTTGGCAACCCCGTTGCAAGGGCAGGATCAATAGCGGCGGTTTGCCTGGCCATCTCCCAGGATCCCCAAGGATTTGACAAGCATTAGGGTCCTAAATGCCAGAGTGGCTATTTTTCTCATTGACAGAGCCATGAGTGTTTGCTCTTTTTAAAATGGCTTGGCAGTTCAGCAGCAGAGCTAGGAATAGAATCCCGGCTCTAGAGCTGGTCCTAGGAGGCAGCGTGAAGTGGCTGCTTCAGGCAGGCTGGTTTTAGGTACCTTTAAGGCTAGCAAAGGATCTGTCCCACAGCACAAGTCCCATTCATTTCAGTGAAGGAGCTTCCTGGGGAACTGCGCCGGAGGATTAAGTGAGCCTCTTACCCCAAACACACCTCCAAATTCACCCTCCCTAGGTGCTTGTCTCACCTATCTGTTATAGCATTGCCATAAACCTGTCAGGCACTGTAGCTTGGTGTCAATTTCTGTATTTGAATTTGCACAGGAGTATCTGTATGTGAGCAAGAGGCCTGTTTGAGTCTTGATTTCCATTTGGGAGGCAGGATGGAGGGGGCATGGCTGAGTGGGAGGACACCTGCTTAGCATGCAGAAAGTCCCAGGTTCACCCCCCAGCATCTCCAGTTAAAGGGGTCAGGTAGTAGCTGGTGTGAAAGACGCCTGAGGCCCTGGAGTGCTGCTGCCAGTCTGAGTAGACAATACTGACCTTGTTAGACCAATGTTCTAATTCAGTGTAAGGCAGCTTCGTGTGTTCAGGATCTCTGAGACTCAGGGTGACATGTTTGTGTTTGAGTGGTGCACCCCACACCCTTTGGGCTTTGCTCTGCATGTTGCCCATCAGGGTGCAACTTACGTACTGGCTGCCTGTTTTCTGCGAAGCCCTTCCTCAGGAAGATGCATGCTGGCCCCAGGAGGTTGTGCATCACGGCGCAGTTCTGGGCCAGCACCATGAGTGGGCCCTGGTACTCGCAGCCCGACGACCCCTCCTCGCTCGTCTGGACAGCCTTATAGCATGTCTTCTCCTCATGGTGGATCTTCTTGGCCAGATCGGTAGCAAGTAAACAATACAATAGAGGAAGTTACCTCCCTATTCCTCCCAGTCTTGCTCTGAGTTAAATGAGCAGAGAAGCTAGACTGAGGGTGAAGACAGACGCATTCTTAAAAGCCACCTGAGTAGGTCCTTCACTCGCACCATTAGCCCAGCTTCACAACGTGCCTTCACACCTACATATCTTGCCTAGAGGAAATGCTAGATGAGCTCTGCAGCATGTCTTTTCCCTTGTGTGCTTCAGGCAGGCTGTCTGCCTTTTTAAGCGTAATAGGATATCCTTCACCTTAATGTTACAAAACTGCTCCAGGGCTGGGGGCAGGGAAGAGAATGATGATGGTGATGTCATGGGTGGCAGCCAGTTGGTGCTCATCAGCCCCTGGCTCCTCCTCTCCCTGACATGCTGGCAACTTACAAACTGTTGCCCCTCCCCGCCCCCACAACTGTTTCAGGACAGAATCATGTATGTGCATTTATAGGACAGCAAAGGTGCATTCAAACCATTTCCACCACACTTAAAATATACGTCTGTCTTCACCCCAATAAGCCTTGCATCCCTTCTGTCTTTTGGTAATGCCCCCACCCCTTCAGTTTGTTACAGCTTTGAGCAGAGTTCACTTTCAACAGGTAATGAAAGCCTAGCCTGCCTGGAGGGTTTTTCCTTTGAAATGATATCAAAAACCTTCTTAGCACTGCATGCATCTCTATAGAATGGGGGGGAGGGCAGATGGGAAAGAGAGATTCTCTGATCTTTTCTACTGCCAACCCCTAAACAATGGGGGATTCATGTCTATGCTGCGAGGCACAGGTGTAGCTCTTTGTGCGTTCAGGAGAAGGCTGGTGACAGAACCATCTCTAGGGGCTCCCACGGAATATGAGTTGAGCAGTCTGTACATTCAGGCAATACTGATTCAGCACCCACCTATTAGTAATCACAGTACGTCCCACATTTACAGATACACTTACTACAGGCAGGGCTGCCTGTGCATGCAGGATCTTACCATGCCAAGGACAGAAATGGGCATGGAATTTGGTTTCCTGAGAATTTTGGCTGCCATTTACAACAAAAAAACACACACCAGCTTCCTGGTCCTCATGGCAGTGAAGATAACTTTGAAAACGAATTTGGAATAGGGCTGAAATCTCAGCCAAACTAAACATTGAGCAATGTGAGAATACTGCTGCTTGCATCTCTGATCTAAGCCTCCTCCTTCGCTGTAAAATGTTGCAGAAGACATTGTGTGGCATGACATCAGGACACTCAGAGCTTCTTGGATTCCTGAGAATTTTGGCTGCCATTTACAAAAAAAAACACGCACCAGCTTCCTCATCCTCATGGCAGTGAGGATAACTTTGAGAATGAATTTGGAATAGGGCTGAAATCTCAGCCAAACTAAACATTGAGCAATGTGAGAATACTGCTGCTTGCATCTCTGATCTAAGCCTCCTCCTTCGCTGTAAAATGTTGCAGAAGACATTGTGTGGCATGACATCAGGACACTCAGAGCTTCTTGGCTGCATCTCACTGGAGCTGCTGCTGGTGGGGTATGAAAACTCCAAACACTGTGATGTCATGGCAATGTCTGCTTTTACTGGATCTTCTGGGGACAAGCAGGCTGGTGGTAGCCACATGTTCTTTGTAATGTCTAGTTTGGGCCTCTGAAATTGGAGATGTTGGTGCAAGAGTACAGAGGGCACAGATTAGGACTGGGGTACACCCCCTACACACACACCGGGCAACAGTCGAGTTGCTGGTTCTGCCCAATTTCCACATGCACAGTGCCTGATTCAGCTCAGGACCATGCTGCACATGGAGGAGGGGCTTCTTCTCCACACAGTTTTCCCAATCTGAAACAGCCCCGATGGGTGCTATTTGGCCAACTGGGAAACTCATATATTCTGTAGATTTCCCCTGCAGGTGAAATAGCACCCCCACACATACACTGGGGCTGTTTCAGATTGGATAAATGGCATAGGGAGGAGGCCAAAGCCATACACACCACGGTCCTGACTTAAGTCAGGCACTGAATGTGCAGAAATTGAGGGGAACCCATAGCTCACATCTGTCCATTACACAGGTGGAGACCACAGACCCAATCTATGATGTGCATCGGCCACATGACTGAGGGATTGAGGGCTTCATACTGTGCAGTATTCCTGCCCTTCTCTGTATTGAGCAGAAAGAAAGTAATGCAAAAGATTCAGAGTTTGATAATTTGGTTTTTCTTGCTGCAGAATTTGTTAATTCCCTTCAGAAGGTACAGGGTTTTTGTTTTCAAATCATCCCAACTGTACTCATGGGAGGCAGATGGGAGCTGAGGCTTCAGATGCAGGAAAAGCAGAACATCAGACATTCATACATGCTCTTTTAAAGAGTCTTCAGAAGACTCTATGAGATACCTTTTTCTCCTACAAACAGCCTGTCTCCATCTGCATCACAGCTGTGTCCTCTCAGGGGCATGAGTCCCACGTGGCAAATCTAAAATGTAGGAGGTGGCCTTTACACTGGACAAAACTGGTACAAATCAAATGACTGTTCACATTGCCAAATGATATATGCTGGCCACTGCTGTTCTCTTTCCACATGTACAGTATACCCTGTTTGGTCAAGTAAAAGGGGCTTAGGCCTGCCTCAGTGCAAGGTGGCATGAACATGGTGATATTCTGCATGAACTAAAAATAAACCAAGGCAATGAGCCACCTCCTGAGAGTCTTGGTGTTCATTTTTTAGAAATGAAGGCAAGTTTCTAGCCCTTAATATTGTAAAGGCAGGCTTGAAACATTGAGGGGCAATGCCTGTTAACATTTCAGACATGCATGTGGTGTATGAGAAGCATTTCTAGTGATCAGAGGGCAAGGGTTTCTTTCAGTACTTCGTGTTTTTTTAAAGCAAACTTAACAAGTGTAACAAAATCAACTGTGAAAGGGAGCTGGTAGAGTTCGCTATGAAGATAATGGCTGCCAAAAAGCACAGTAAGCCCCCTAGGTTGTTTAGTTAATTGCAGAACTAATCTCATTGGTTGCCCTGCAGTTCCTGACTCCTGGCTGGTAATCCCCCCCACAGTCTTAACATTCACAACACTAGATTCTATAGGGTGCCATTTTTTTGTAGTCTGTGCCTTCCATTACTCAGGGGCTCCAGAATGGAATCCTATAGTGGAAGCTCCAGGCCCCACTGGAGAATCAGCAGCTGGCCTTATATAGAAATGCATGGCAGAGGCTCTGTCAGAAACGCTTCATCCTGGCATTCCCATGCAGCTATAAAAAGCCAGCAATGATTGGTAGGACCTTTGGATTTTACGCAGTAAACATTCATAATCCTGTAATTGCTTTCACGAGAGACAAAAGAACTCCTTGCCAACGGCTCATTTTCCTCAGAGTGCATCTGTCGACTTTGGACAATGTCCTCCAAAAAATGAGCACTCCGGCTGACCACTGCAAGTTTCTTTTGACCTGGACGAGGACACGCACACAGAGGGTGGGATTTGCATGCGCAACTGTGTTTCTTAGCTGAGTGTGTCATAGGGTTGTTGCATGACACACATTGAGCCTGATAGCAGTTGGCTTTTTTGTGAACACAGTCTCGAGGCAATCCACAGCAGTTATGATGCTATTGGCAGTAATGGGGCAAGAATAGCATCAAGGCCACGATTGTGGATAAAAGCACACCAGGAGGGAAAGAAAGAGCTTGGAATAAAAGAGCCCACAAGACCACATCTGCCAGCACAGAACTGTTGGGAAGATCCTTCTCTGTGTACCAGAAAAATATTAAATTACTCTAGAGAAAATGGTCTTTAAGAGAGTTTCAGATTATCTGAGAGACTTCACATCTTAGTCCAAACAGCATCAAACGCTGCCAGAGCTATTTAGTCAGTGGCAACAGTGGGATCAGCAGATACCGCTTTCAAATCACCTTTAGTTCTCTGAAAAACAATCTGGGACCAGAAAACTGCTGAAAAGTCAAATGACGGTCAGCTGCTTGAACACCAGGACTGTCAGCTGCCCAGTCCGTGTTTTGGATAATAATCTGTTCTTCAACTGATTTTTAAATCAAATAAATGCACATATTACCCAAACTTCAGTACAGATGCCTTTCTGAGATACTGAAGGAAGAGCAAGACTGCTCTTATTGACAAAACAAGCTACTACTCACTGGTAGGGGGAATGTCTTCTCTTTTTTATTCCCTGTGACATTCAGGCATCAGTATCAAAATGGCTTAAAAACCAAACAAACGCATGCATCAATTAAAATTTGGCCCGATTGATTAATCAGCTAAAACTTTATAACTTGATTAATCTGCCAAGTAAATGTTTAAATTCCATCTGATAAGCATAATTTTAATGCAGCAAAAAAGCTGAAAACTCAAGAGTTTGGATCATATGTGGCGTCACTGAAGCCCCAAAAAGGAGCTATTTCTTGGTCTCTTTATGAACACATCCAGGCACACCAGAGGAAAAGGTTGGCCAATTAATTTCCTATCAATGCCAAAAGAGTTATCAAAGGCTGTTGAAAGAATCAGCATAGACAAGTGGGGAAGGGGGTGCTACCTGTAGCCTGTCGAGATTTTTTAAATCAGGCAGTGTGCAGTGCAACATTTGTGAAGGAGAGGAATGGGCCTGTGTTTGGGAAAACCTGAGAGGGCTGCTAAAAGACCTCTTGCAGTGTTGCATAAGACACAACTGATTATGTAACTGCAGAAGGGATTTTCTTCCTGAAGTGTGGCTGCTTAGCACAGCAAAATGCCTTGAACTAGTCTTGAGGCAGGGCAGTTTGCTTTCTCCCCACATATGGGGCTGGTGGGGCTTGGCTTTCAAGAAGTTAGGAGCAGTGGCCTCTAAGGTTCTCCTTTGTGAGCTCAGTGGGTTGATAGATTCCTGCTAAGCCAGATTCTAGGGCTGGTATAGAATGTAGGAGGGGCAGCTAAGCCTTTTGTGGATATGTTTCCACCTACCCAACTTGTCTTGCAGCTGTTGCGCTGGCATTGGGGGCCCAGTGTGTCCCAATAGTGCATTAAAGTGCCTTCTATACAGAAGGGTGCACTTGAGTACCAGTTGCTCTTTGGATGTACCCTTCTGGGGTATATGACTTGTGGTGTTCATGTTCTCCCCCTACCATTCTTATCTCAAACTACCTCTCATTTTACTTCCTTACAATATCAAGGTTGCGCAAGTCATCAGTTATGAAGAGAACCAATCAGACTGTATTTACCCTAAGACCAACTGCAGAACGTAAAGCGCCCAAAGCTCTACTGTCATTATCTTTTGGAGTCCCTCTGCTCTTAATGTGTTTAGAATGCAAACAGCATCATTTTAAAAGTCTCTGCTGGGAAGGGGTTAATGTGGCTTGGAGAGGAAAGAAAGCTCACTCTTACTGATCCGTTGTTCTAGAGACTATTATGGGCCATTTCACACATTACACTCAAGCTCGCTGTCGCCCACTCAGCAAGGACCTGCATCCAATCTCAGATCCCTGGCAAAGTGTACTTGTACAGGACATGTGTTTACTGCATTCACACTTGACATTTTCAGGCTTCAAACGGCTTAGCTATGCCCCTAAAAATGTCATATGTGGCACGTTTGCTCTCTCTCTACTAAACAGCAGTCTGTTTCTGTTCTCCAGAAATCAGATGGGTAGCTTGTAGAGTGTGAATTTCTTCCTTCTCTCTCTTACGGCAATGCAAAGGTAGAGTTTATAGCTTGTCCTTGTTAGGACTAGCTCAGAGAAGAGAAGAGGCCTGCCCTGTTTTCTCACATAAGCCACAAACAGACAAGCCTCATAGCTGCTGTTCTAGTCTCCCTCCCCTGTTTTGAACCTCTGGCAGTGCCGGGCTCCCTGAAGGGCCAATAAACAGCTCGGTCTCTGCCACTGCCTGGTACCACTTTCCTTTTATGAGCGGTAACAAAGAATTGCCTCCAAGTTTCTTACTCCTTTCAGCTTTTCTCCAAGTGAATTAATCTCACCAGCTGCCTCATCAACATGTTTTGTCCAGAGTTGTTTCTCAGAATTTGTAGCAGCCCCATTACCAGGTCAGTGTACCTGTATAAACACACACACACACACTTTTTTGTTTTTTTCATATGTGTGTGGGCATGTGCACCTGGAAGTCATGGTGACCTCTGGTGACTGACCCCTACTGGGGCCTGGAGGATATTCAGAGAGGTGGCTGAATAAAGCCTGCCCCCACCTCCCAACTGCTGGTATTCCAAGGAGGTCTCCCATCCAAATACTTGCCAGAGTTGACCCTGCTTAGCTTCCGAGATCTGATGAAATCGGGCTTGCCTGACACACACACAACTATTGAGTTCACAAACTATTCTCAGCACATAGGCTAATATACACACACAGAACACCTTTGCTCAGGCACACATAGGTCTTCTGAAATGGACATTCACTGTGCAAGCACAAGTGACAACAACGAGTACGTGTCCACTGACAAACACATGTTCACACTGGGGAATGCCTCTACGTAGGGTGTCACCACATACACACGTGCGCGGCTTATATGCGTACATCACAGTACATATTGGGATCACTATGCACATACAGGTAAGCATGCTAGTATATGTTTGCTCCTATGACTGTGTGCTTGTGTTTCAAAGAATGCTTGGACTTCACTCAGTATCCTTCTATGACAAACTAAAGCTGTTCATCCCCCAGCACGGGGCCTGCACCTGACTGTGTTTGAAGGCCTGATTGTACCGGCCTCAGAGTCAGGTCTTAATTCACACCATTGTACATCCTGTCTCAGAATTAGTGCTTTTGTGTGTTTATGCAGTCCTGCTTTCATCAATGAGCTGTATTTGTTGCATTTTGTACAAAAGGCACTTGGGGATCACAAGAAGATCGTGGAAGGCAATTAAAGCCATCAATCCATCTAAAACCCATCCAGATCCAGTCATAGAAACAGAGCATCTTGGAGGCCGTAGTAGCCAGCTTAATGTTAACTGCTCAAAATCACATTTTGGCATATTAAAGAAAATTTAACCTGGTGCCAAAATAAAAATACATATTTATTTATTGCAAGTTTTTTTCTCAGCAAATCATTTTTCAGTGGGAGGCTAGAGGAGGGAAAGGGACATGTAGAAGAAGCTACTCTCTAGTCTGTGCAAGATCCAGGCCGGTTTAACATTCTCAGAGAAAGTTACCCTCCTACAATCTGACAGGAACAAGTGGAGATCAGCTCCGCATGCTGATGCGCATTTACCAGGGATAGTATGACAGAAGAAATGGAGACTGCAAATCACACTGACCTAAGAGAAAACTTAGGGGGAGCGGAAGGCAAGGGAAGGAGAAATTGCACCTTAGAGCATGCAAGAGCGTTGCAGGGGGTGGGTCACCAAGCATAATCACCATCCTTTATACCTGTCCAAACAGGGATGGGAGATCATGACACCACTGCTCTGTAAAAATATGAGAGGAACAGGACGCACAAGCGTGGTGCAAAGCTACTTACTATAGTAAGTGCAATTACCATAATAAGCAAGCACCGGCACACTACAGAGGGTCTTGGTCAAATGCATCCACCTCCACTGAGGCCCAAACGGACATGTTTTCTTGCATCACCCTCGGTAACACTGACATACGTGCACATATCCCTGCACAAAACCAAGACTGTGCTGACATCCACAGACATCCATTTGCACAAAATGTGTGCACTTATTTTTTTTTTTACAAAAGGGAGCACTGACATTTTTATAATAAACAACAGAGGACAAAGTCTAACAGGATTTCTATGGGGCACTGAAATGAAAGGGAGCTGCATCATGATGCATTTCATTCATTGGAGCTCACATGGGAGAAATTCCCAAGGGACTGAGCCCCACATATTGCAAACACATGCACACAACTGCACAGCCCTACGCACCAACACAAATTGCACATGGAAAGAGCCATGTCTGCATGCATGCAGGTGTTAGAGTCCCTGGTTTTTTAGTACAGTGCACCTTTGTGAGGCCAGCCTTACAAAAAAAGGACTCACATGGGGAGTTTGGCCGAGGCATCTTTGTCTTCTTCCCACCAATCCCTCCCTGTCTCTTCCCCGACATCATCACAGATCCCAAAAGATGTTGGCTCAAGACATGTGTGACGCACGTCCAGGCAGGGAACATACCTTTTTTGAGAGGTTTCTCAGTGGAGACTTCACACAGTTGCCCATAATATGTTGAAGCTGCCTTGCCAGTAGACTCGGTTATAAAGGAAACTGGGTAATTGATTCCATTAAAGGCAGTCTTTAGGAGCAAAGCGAGACACAGGCAGCACCAGTCAAATCCAAATAAGAACTGGCTGCTACTGATGGGACTTCCCTCTTCAGAGAGCTTTCTATTTCTCTCTTTCTCTCTCTCTCTCTCTTTGTTTTGGTTTTTTAAACTTTATGTTCACTTTCTTGAAGAGATGAAGCGGGAAGGGGAGGGAGGGGAGAGAAACAGAGAGAGGGAGGGACAGAGAAAGGAAGAGAGAGGACAGAGAGGGAGGTGGGTGTATAATCTACATCAGATTAAAGTTCAGATCCCTCCCACCACTCTCAATATGCAGGGAACTGCTTTGACTCTCTGAAGACGGCCAAGCCAAGGAAGATGAAGAGCAGAAAGGTACCACAAGAAGTGACTGTTCGTAAGCAGATCAGGAAATCATGCTATTTTGGGCCCACTTTGCCCCTGAAGTAATTTCAATTCTAAATCTCCTGAAATGTGGAATGCTTTGATTACCGAAGAGGCCAGCTGGATGGAAAGCAATCCATTTAGGAAACAGCTGCAGAACTAGAAGAGGCAGGGCTCATGATCCCATACTGGAGTCGAGTTCACATCTGATTTAAAAACAGCGCAAGGTTGCTGCCTGGCTCTTCACTTCCTCAGCCTATATACAGCAGAGAATACGGTGGCAAGTGAGAACCCTTCCCAGCTTTGACGTATGTGACTCTTTAAGGTACAGAGAAATCAGGATGTTATACTGTACATAGAAACTTTGATTGGCTTAATTATTGAGTTTAAAGCTTTAATTGCCGATGGCTAAAGATGTTCCAAAGCTTTTGAGTCTGCTCAGTTATTCTAAGCGAGCAAGAAAGAGGAAATCTTAAAGGCAGCCTTACCTTCCACTAGCGATAAGTGGTAGCTTTTGTCTATGAAATGGCAGTTTACCTCACACTTCCTTCAGTATCTGAAAATGATACCTCTACTGCTATCTGAAGAACATGTAGATTGACTTGGCTTCAGTTTATCAATTACTGTGTGAAAGTCAGCCACGGATGTGTGTGTTCATGCTTTGGCTTTTAGGGAGCCCTTTCCTGCTCTGACTTTACAAACAAAGTACTACACCTTCAGGGGTACCTGGCCCACACCTGTTGGGCCACACTATCACCCCACATAAACTCAGTGTGTGTCCTACCACACATCAAATGATGATTATTGTTGTTGAAAATAACCCCACTATTTAGGATCTTCCAGAAGCTTTACAACAAACCAGCTAGCATATAAACATCAGCAGCACAATATACAGTAAAATAAAGGGAAGACACAACAACAACCAGCAGTCGAAGCTGCCGTGAAATCACTTTCAGCATCAGCAAAGCAAAATTGGGGGGGGGGGTTCATTCCACACCTGTGGTCACAAGACAAGGGGCAAAAAAGGCAACCTAACATTCAGTGATGGAGACGCACAGAGAAGGGCCTTCAAAAATGACCTCAGGGAGTGTAACTGCTGAGTACAGAAGTGATTGTTCTTACCTCTCCTGTGGAACTTGCCCCTGCAGCCATGCATGGTAGTGGCTCGAGTGCTGTTAGAAACCTTTTCCACAGAGTTCCCCAAACACCATTTGCAAAGCAGTGAACTGAATGTTCTTTAATCAGTTGACAGCTTTATGTTCAACAAAAGTCATTTTTGCTGAAATTGGGAGACAGTGAGTTCCGTGAGGCACTCATCTCAACAAAAAATAATCCTTCCTACAGTTGGGTGGCTTCAGGGTTGATAGGAATGATGGTCCAGATTTAATCTTTATCACTGGTAAGAACAGTCAAGCTCCGGGCAGATCTATTCAGCAGACGTATGCTGGGTTTATACTGGTTTGCAGCCTGGTATTGTAGTAACTCCAGGCAGCCACTTCCAAACACAGCTCCAGCTCTTCAAAATGCGTAACTAGACAGGGAAACAGACAGGGCAACCAAACAGGCAACGCTCCAAGGAGCAGACAAGAACAGCAAGCCAAAGAACCCACCAGCCTGGAGACCAAACAGTGGCTTATACCTTGAAACATGTGACCTCAACTGCCAGCTGTTAACAAATTGAAGTTGAGACTGAGGCTTCAATGCAGCCAGAAGGACCAAGGCATAGGGCTTGATTCTGACAGGACATCTCATACGAGACTCTTTCTCCAGGCTTTCCTTCTGCTCTTAGCAATGTGGTCCACCATGCCGAAGATCTGTCTGTCTGATTCGTTTGTACCCCACCTTTCTCCCCAATGGGGAACCAAAGCAGTTTACACCATTCTCCTCTCCTCCCATTTAATCCTACAACAACCCCATGAGATAGGTTAGGTTGAGAGAGTGTGAGTGGGCCAAGGTCACCCACTGAGCTTCAATGGGGTGAGTGGAGTTCGAACCCAGATCTTCCAGATACTAGTCCAGCACTCCTAACCACTACACCACACTGGTTCTCTAATCTATGAAATTAATCTATAAAATTAGCTGAGCATTTGAGGCTGTTTTATAGAGAATCAAATCATCTAGTCTGATACATTCTACTATGACCAGCAGTAGCTCTCTAATAATTCAGAGAGAAAGATCCTTTCAACTGGACATACCAGGAGTTGAATTTGGAGTGTCCTGCATGCAAAACATGCAATTTACCGCTGAGCTAGTGCTGAGTAGCTGAATATATGAGGCTGCCTTACGTTGAGTTAGCCTTTGGTCCAATAAGTATTGTCTACTGAAAGTAGTTTTCAGTCTTTCCAGGCTCAAGACCAATCTTCAATCCCAATTTGTAAACACAGGACCCATTTTAAATCCAATATATATTTTTTTACACCTCCTCTGCCTTCCTCATCCTCCGTGTATTTCCTCTCACTGATGTGACCCTCCTGAGGTCAGGTTACAACTCACTTATCAGTCACAGTTTGCCAGATAAGACTGAAGGAGGAGGGGAAGCTAAGCTTCGTTTTCAAAATGACATGAGTCAGCTCACTGTTGTGAGCTGTGATGTTCTTTTTTGCTTGCAAGTCAGGAATAGCATACTCACTCAGATTATTGCTCTTAGGTGTACACAGCTGAGAGGGATGTGTTCAAAACAATATTAGCAAAGAGTTCCAAAGGTGAGGGCAACTGGCTTCAGAACAAGGAAGCTCATGCACTCCACAATTTCAACCAACAAATGGAACCAACTGAGCAGGGACTCTACCCCAGGAGACCAAACCAACGTGTACAAACATCAGAGGGGGACAAGCAGACCATTCTACTGTAATGCATACAATCAATATATCACATGCTCCATTCCCCACCCCCTTTAGCCCTTTAAAGATCTCCCCCCCCCTTTTCTGCTGAACGGCATGGTAGCAAGGCAAAGAGGGCTTCCAAGTAGCTCCCCCCCCCACACACAATCATCATTGCATTTCTGCAGGCTCAATGGAAGAAAGTGGAGGAGTGGGGGGGGGGTCTGTGCAGGAATGGTTGTGGGTAGATGCTGTTCCTGCCCACTCCTGCATTGCTTGCTGCTACTGCCGTGGTAGGAGAGTATTTTCACTCCCCCATCTGGAAGCAGCCTCCATCAGTTCACTACAATTGTGTGTGTGTGTGTTTGTGGGAAGAATCACCATCAATCAGGTTGGGGGAAAAGATGGAAAAAAACAAAAGAACAGAAAATACTGGACCGCATTAGACTGACGACAGCGTTGACTGAATTCTCCATAAAAACTGAGTGAACAAATAATGCCTCTTCCAGACTAAACTGCTAGTATGGAAGCAACCCTGTTTTACATAAGTGATTTGCTATTCTCTGAAAAGAGCAACAAGAAACTAGGGCTGGGAGAAAACAGAGAGAGAAGAAGACACAGAAGCATATCACCAGGCAACACAGATCTCTCTCCTCGGATCTGGAATGGACAATACTGAACCGTGGATCTGAGTTCTTTGTGTGAATCCTTGCTCTCAGGGACAGCAGAGAAGGATGTAGCACGTAAAGGAAGGAGTCATTCAGACTTCAGCCTTGCTATACCAAATATAATGGTGGACAGGTGGTTTTTGGCAGGGAGCTGAGCTTAAAGAGCTAACCCCACAGGTTTAATAGCTGCTCAGAATCTAGAGTGATTAAAGTCTTCCAAACCACCAGGACCTCCAAGAAGAGTTTCTCTCTGCCTGAGGATTTGGCAGACCAGGCCTGAAATCACTTGGAAGAAGAGCTCCCACTCATGGGTAGCTTCTTCCACCAGGTCTGCACAACATGTGACCCAGCAAACCAAACACCCCACCACAGAGAGAGAGAGAGAGAGAATGCAGTGTCTCCTTTACAAATTCCTCGTGTCCCAAGCAGGCAGCAAAAGCAGGTGGGCTCTTGAGACTGACAAGCTGCATTTGACATGCTGGGTCACAAGTTCAGTAGGCTGGCCATGCCAGAGATTACCTCTTGATGGAGCAGAGGCTGGGGGTTACAGGGCACCACGAGAGAGTTTTGTAGATGAGCAGAAAGGTGCCAGGCCATTGCATTGACAGGGGAGAGGGACTAAAGCAGGAGGAGGTGGAGAAAGTTGGGTGTCTCATGCAGGAACAGTAGATCTGGAGTTGCAGGAAGGGGCAACACCTTGAGTCAAACAACAGCATTTTAAAAAATCCATGCATACATCTACTTGAGGGCTTTTTTCCTCGGGAGGAACACAGCGTGCCCCAACTTTATTTGGGAGCTTCCACATGATGCAGCGCAAAAGAGAAAACCTCCTTTGCTCAGACTTGAAGAGAAAATGGCACTAGGGCTACAGGCAGAACCTCTGTGTGAAAGCCAATCCAGAGGGGGATGGAGTTTAGCGCCATCTTCAAAACTGCAGCAATAAGTAGTGAATTTGTGGGAAGCACTGAAGCTTACCCTAAATAAGCCTGTAAAGAAGCACTCTAAACATGACAGTTGCCAAACACCTATGGGTATATGTATATTACAGCTGGTTTAACTAATTCTGTCTTG